AAATCAGCTAGGGAAAACACTGTATATCTGTTGATTTCTGCTCCACAGTCATTTGAGACAAAAATTCTGTTCTGTGGATCAACTGGAGAATTGTAAGTGCCCCCTTATGCACTCCACATCTTCCTTCTGCCACCAGCTGTACAGTCAGCTAATACAGTCTACACATGAGATTGTGCATGTGTGTGTAAGCGTGTATGAGTATATATAAGCATTCACGCAGCATGTGTGTATTTTTATACATATATATAAACATTATATATACATATATATATAAAGTAATCTTGATGTTTCATTCAGAGATAGTCTGTGTCAGAACTGAGAACAAGGAAGAGAAAATTTAACTCCCAGCCATTGATTCTATGCTTCAGTGACCTTATCCAACACCCCACACACCTCCCTATAGTAAAACAAAGACAATCATTATCAAACAAAGGGGGGCGGCCAATCAGATGTGTATGAATCCAGCATTACTGAGAAAAATCTCCAAAAGCCCAATTTTTGTAACAACATCTTTACTTACTAAAAATCAGAATCACTTCCATATGAAAGAAAAACAACGGTGATGACAAGGATACTAACCAAATTTATCTCTTCAGCATTGAAATCCTCAGCCAAGAAAGCTGTTCTGGTCAAAACTTCATTTCGCTTAGTTTCTGGGATCTGATCCAGCTTTGTTCCTATTACCAGAAGTGGAATCTGGTTATCAGCAAACTGTTCACGGTCATAGTCACTGATGAGGGAAACAAATACAATTCTGAATGAAGCAATGGTCACGTAAATAGGCACAGGGGTGCCACCAGCTCCCCTGTCCCCTTCAAATAATGGTCATTTATTTCTTAAGGGTCATTTTTTATCTAAGTGAGAATGTGCTGTATCTGTAAATTAAGGAAGGGCTTCTGCATCCAAGTCACTACACATGGATTGAACAGAAAGAAAAAAAACCACATGAGCTGGATTTCTTCTCAGCATAGATGAACTGCAGAAGAAATGCTAACACAAGCAGGAAAGAAACAGGAATTCCAGTATTATACCAAGTGTATGCAGCCATCAGAGACAGATCAGGCAGCTGGCATCTCTGAACATCTGAAGTTCCTACATCTATACGCTTTTTAAGGAGGGACAATGAAACAAATTGCAACTGTGAAGCACTACCCCTTTTCCACCTTAGATCAACGAGGGTTGCAGTAACAATTCTGTAGTAGCAAGTTACTAATTCTTCTACATTCAAGTAAAGGTAGCCACCACAAGCTGAATTCCAACAAGCTTTGATTCAGATATGAATAATGACCAAAAATAGCCTTTATAAAATAAATACTATTGCAATTAAGTGTCATCACAAATGCAAACTCCAATCATTCCCTTCATGCTTGTCTTTCATTTTTACATGAATCAAGATTTCCAGAAAGTAATTTTGCAACCAACAGCGGCAACTTGACCAAGCGATTGCTAGTGGCTGAGCATCTGTCCCTAACAGAAGTTAAGCTTTTGAAAATTAAAACAATTGTGAAGAACCCGTATGTGGAAAAACTGGAGAAATTTGCAGTTTATATAGTGCAAACCCTCTTCACCTTCTCCCATGTTTCTACAGAAACAATTGTGTGCTAGCACAGGCAGATAAACAATAAATATTCTTCCCACAGAAAGCTACCCCTTAATATTGCTTCCCTGCTCATGTGTGTGGTTTATCAATGATCTTAAAAATTCCTTGACTCCATGTGTAACAGGAGCAAAGAGATACAAGAGGAAACACTTGACAAGATGTTGGAAAGCTGACTATGAACATGCTGTTTAAGCAGAGTTTTCTAAGCTCTTTTTTAGCCACACTCCTGAAATAATTCCCCCACCGCCCAAAACAAAAAATAATTAAGTGAACTTCCTCAGTCTTGGTGCATTGAGGAAAGCCTTTTGGAACAGACATGGCATCCCATGTCAATTCCTGTACAAGGGCTTTGCACATCTTGGTACAGACACACAAGTCTTCAGGTATCAGGGACTGGACTCACTTTCACAGAGGCCTCAGACAAACAAAGGATGCAGTAAACACCTTTTCCCTTAAAGCAAGGTCTCTGCCATACAGTTTGGGAATCTACTGGCAGAATGGCCTGACTGGCAGCGTAAAACAATGAGAGCAGCGACTTTCTTTGATACCCCCCATTTTTTTCGTTGTTTCTTAAAAGTCTAGCCACATCTAATTTCGCGTGGACTCCAAGTAGCCTTAGGCATGAACAAAGACTTCCATAACAGCTTAGAATTATTGTGTCTTAACCCTGTATGTATACTTTTCACTCACCCATTTGTCACAAGAACTCCTGTTGGCGCGACATCTCTGTTGAGTGCTTCCAAAGACCAGCGATACAAATTCTGGGATGATTTCTTGTTGGTTAAGTCATGCACTAAAATTATCCCTAAAGTGAAAGAGAAGGCAGCAAGATGCTATTTAATGATAGACATTTTTTTCCTTATCTTACTAAAATGACATCTGCAGGTTCCTAGATATCTGAGAATGAAGAAAGGGAAATATAGCCAGTTCAGTTACAGTGAACGAGTAAAGCTGAGAACACCAGGATGCAACAGGTTTTTTAAAGCTGCTTATGAGGAACTGGGTAAGAGCTAAGAGAAAAATCTCACAAAGGAGGAAATGAACAACCACCTCAGGGTTTAATATGCAAGAGGCTTGCAGGCATTCCCTGATTCTGCTCTGTCTAGTCCTAATGATACTGAAACTCTGTATTACTGCAGCAGAGAATTTAGCCTTACTCTGTTTTACCTAACTGGTAAATATAACTATCTTTTTGTCACACTATCTAATAAGTCTGAAGGCGGTTTCTTTGTTTCAAAGAGTTCAGAGAGCAGTATTGCTTTCCTGCATTTTCAAAAATGAATGCTACATACTTGGGGAGGTAGCCAAAGGGGAAACAGACTCTGATAAACTTTCACAGTCCACCAAATGGCTGGTAGAAACATGAATTAATATGATTTCATGCATTTAAGATTAAGCTTCTAGCATTTTTCATTACCATGATCCTTCAAAATGTAAATTCTGAGACAGTAAAACAGCCAGCCAAACTTCCTAGCTGTGCTATTAACAGACACCCACTTCTGATAACCACAGCTCCTAACTCAATTACCAACTCCTGCTAGCAAATTTCTTCTATTTATTCACACCTTCTGCAACCTGTGGAATGTTCCCACTTCCTCCAGACTTCAAACCATCATTAATTCAAGGACAAAACAGAATTACACCCCTTATCTTCACCAGGATTCGTTCTCATCACACTTCACAGCCCACAGGTGGAGAAAACTTATTAATTTAATCTTTCACCTTAACTGCCAAAGGTGCCACCCACCATACACACTACAAACAAACCACATTTCCACAAACATTCTCCACTGCCCCACATGGCTGTGCACAGACTCCCCTAGGAGAGTTCCCAGCATATCACAACCATAGCCGTATTTCAAAGCATTTATCTCAGTAACAGCATAAAAAGGCAACTCAACTGTGTGTCCACCCCCAGCGTAAGGAGAAAAAGCCTGATACAACATGACTTGGCCTACGGCAACAGATTCAGAGGCACTGCTGCATCATCTGAGGGAAACACTCTCCACCTCCAAACACTCTTCCTCAGCGATGTTTTTGGTTGGTCAGTTCCCTTATCTGCTTCATGGAAAACCTACACAGTCAGTTGCACCAGCAGAAAAAGACAATGTTAACATCAAAAAGGCCAGGCAGGACCAATGACTACTCAAGGAAATGTTCCTCCCCCATTATGATCTGCAAGCCTAATCACTGTCACTGAAGACAGGCAGAAGGAACACATTTGTCTTCTCGTCTTAAATCAGGTCAAACAGAGGCAGTTTGTGAGACAAGCTCTAATGAAGGAATTAATCTAATGAAAGAAACCAGAGCCAAGGCTAACTACCAATGTCAACAGTTTTCATATGCGATCTGCCTAATAATATCTTTTGGGCAGTGCAGATAAATAACTCTATTTTAATAACGTCATCAATTATAACTCAGACGTGTAAGTTCAAGATTTCATCTCCTAATGGGCTGTTCTAGGATATTTCCAAGTCTGACCCACACTCTCTAGCACACTGTAGATTTGGTGTCAAAAAGAAATACACCTTTTTTTATATACCAGAGAGGCTTGCTTTGAGGGCACAATTCCCCTCAAACTGTATTTACAGAGGTCTGGTTAACAATGTAAGCAACAGGTACCTACACACAGTAGGAAAGGAAAGGAGGAAGACATAACTAGTTAAATAATCACAGAGCAAGAAAGTTTATTGCATGGCTAAATACGTTATTGAAAGCTCCCCAAATGACTGGGAACAAGAAATGAGAATCAAACAGAACATTTGAGACATTTTCAGAAGCAGGTGTTAATCTGGTATACATCTATTTTTAGTGAACTATCCCTGGATGCCAAAAAGTAACAACTGAAATATTGCATTATTAAGTTTACAATCTCTTATTTTCTCTTATTAGTAGTACAGATGAACTACTCGGCCTTTAAGTCAGTATCTCAACAGAAGGCATAAAATACTACTTGCTATCTACAGCAAGTTGCAAGATTCAATTATTAAAATTAATTTGGCAAATTAAATGAGCAGAGGCAAGATGGTTATCAGCATATTGCAATTTTATGGGAGAACAGTTCAAATTTGCCAGGGTAGGCTATAACTATGAAAGTTCATATAAATTCAAATAATTATTTCTCTGCTGTAGGTTTTGGAACCGAACAGACAAGAAATTATAAGTCATATTTCTGCATGTATAACAGGCCTGGAAAGGTGAAGGCAACCTTTACGTCTGCAAGAGTAGCTGGAAGGGACCTCACCGCAACTTCAAAGACTCCCTGCTGTGCCAGCTGCACAAGACTGAAGCGAAAGGCTGATGAAGCTCATCTGCACAGGTTTGTCTAAAATAGCTTTCCAGTTCAAAACTGAATCCCTAAAATTCTGCCTACGAATGGTATCAGGTTTTTTCCTGCATAAAGGTACTGCAAGCAGAACAAGAGAACAATATAGCCCTCAGCCAGACTCAAAGGAATCCTGCCCCAGAACCAAGAGACAGCTTATAACAGAAAGAGTAATAAAAACAGATTTACACAAAGCAAACTTACCGTTCAGCAAGTTATAAAATACTGCTCGTGTGCTTTTCACACTAGTGGCACTACCCACTGAACCTCCAACATCCCACAGCTCAATGTAGTAGGTCTTCTCCTCTGGCGTCCCTTCTTTGTAGTCATGGATCTGATGAAAAATTCACATCATACATAACCACAGCACTAGCTCGCAGGAACTAATCCACACAACACTTGAATATATTCAGCTGAAAGGATTATTGTACTTGGATGGAAATTTGTAAATTCTCATGTTGACACCATTTCAAATCTCTCAAGCAGAAGAGGGATGGAATGAGTCAAGCAGTGGCCACTGGATACCACAGCTCTTACATGAAGTAGAGCTTGGTGAGTCAGCAGGGAGTATCCTTTCCACCTTAATATTAACAAACCTAATGCCTCATGATGTGCTTAGAAATAACATATTGCTAAAGCAGATGAAAAAGTAAGGTTATGACTTCTTAAGAGTTGTTAAAATGCACATGGTAGTACTGCAAGAATATTAGCACAGGTGACCACAAGGGATTCTAGCCGACCACATCTTTTTCCTTTCTAAATTCTCATTTATATCTCAACTGATCAATCAACAATTTTTGCCCCAGGATCTGCTAGGTAGTTTTGCTCCACAGTCAACCAGGATTGCCATGTTTCTTTCCCAAATTCTGGAAATATGTTTTAACGTTCTTTGAGATGAAACTCATGGATAGCAAGACAGGATCATTCCTAACCCATGGCAATGCATTTCAAGGAGAAGGCAGCAGAGTGATGAAGAAAGCAAGCATTTATCACCACTCCACGAGGAATGTAGGCTGGTCCGAAAAACTATTAGATAAATATCATTCTTCTAATAGCAGGTCCTGTGATAGCAGAGGAGAAGCAACCTCATGGACACGCTCAGTACCCTCATATTAAACAAGCAAATTGTTTTCCCCCAGTATGTTTGGATGACAATTTAGTTGTGCATTAAGTGTTTCCCAGGGAAGTGTGCTTTAAGTTCTCTGCCTTCTAACTTAAACTGGCTAAAAAAAAGCGACACACGCCGCCAGCCACTGCAGTAAGGAGAGGCGTTAGGAAAGACAAGTACCTCGCCTGCTTCTGACAACCCTGTAAACGTCAAAACTTGCTCACACAAGTGCTCCGCTCAGATTTAATGCTATTTGTGCTTCAAAAGATTTAAGCTCCCAGCAAAAACAAAACACTGAAACACACCTCTTTCTGGGGCAGAAAGTAATGAAAAGAAGAAAAAAAAAAATGTCCCTTCCACATTAAGCTAGGGCTACCAAGAGATCGGGCACGTCACCTACTCGAACATCCACCGAGCAGCCCACTGTCCAGGACGGGTTTCCCAATACCTGGTTTTGGCATAAGAGGTGAACGAGCGACGACTTTCCGACACCTGCAAGTGCACACAGAGGGCGACTCCTGGGAGACCACGCAAGGGCAGGTAAAAAGGCCAAGAGGTGACGGGCAGAAGCGCTAACTACACGCGGGTGGCCCCGGCAGCAGCGGGGAACGGCCAACGGTCAGTGCCCAACGGCCGGAGCGAAGGGGGAAGGGATGCAAAGGAGCAAAGCCCCAAGGGCCAGCGGGGGCGCCTGCACTCCCGGCCCCACGGTACACGACCGGCGGCGGGCAGGGCCCCTGGGCGGCGCCGCCCAGGG